TGAAAGTATCAATTTTAACTGAAGCAATCTATACATTCAATGCAATCCCAATCCAGATCCCATCAACATTCTTTAAGAACATGAAACAACCAATCACTAACTTTATATGGAAAGGAAAGAGACTTCAGATAAGCAAAGCACTTTTGAAGAAGAAGAACAAAGTAGGAGGTCTCACACTGCTGGATCTCAAAACCTACTATACACCCACAGTAGTCAAAACTGCCTGGTATTGGTACAATGACAGACACACAGACTAATGGAATAGAATTGAGAACCCAGAAACAGATCCATGGACCTGTGGTCAGCTGATCTTTGACAAAGGATCAAAATTCATTAAATGGGGAAGAGAATGTTAGTTTAATAAATGGTGCTGGTAAAACTGGATATCTACTTGCAGAAAAATGAAACAAGATCTGTACCTCACGCCATACACAAAAACTAACTCCAGTTGGATGAAAGACTTAAATGTGAAACCTAAAACTATAAAGTTCCTTGAGGAAAACTAGGAGCTAATTTCAGACCCTAATATATGGCATAAATAGACTATCAAGCATAACCCAAAATGCACAAACTGCAGAAGATCAACTTGATGAATAGGACCTTCTCAAAATTAAATTCTTAAGTGCTTCCAAAGCCTTCTCCAAAAGAGTCAAAAGAGAACCTACAGATTGGGAAAAAATATTTGGCAATGACATATCTAACAAGGACTCTAGAATTTATAAAGAACAACACCTCAGCAATAATAGGGCAGTAATCCAATTAAAAAATGATCAGAAGACATGGATAGAAGTTCACCAAAGAGGATATGCAGGTGGCCAACAAACATACGAAGAAATGCTCATGGTCATTATCCATTAGAGAGATGCAAATCAAAACAGCAATGAGATACCATCTCACTCCACTACTAATGGCAAAGTTCAAAACAGAAAATGGCAAATGCTGGCAAGGATGCGGAAAGAACGAGACTCTCATACACTGCTGGTGGGACTGTCAAATGATACAACTACTGTGGAAAGCAGTATGGCTATTCCTTAAAAAGTTGGAATTAGAAATACCATTTGATCTAGCAATTCCATTACTAGGTATATATTCTAAAAAAGTGAAAGCCAGGACAAGAACAGATATATGCACACCCATGTTCATCGCAGCACTATTTACAATAGTGAACAGATGGAAACAACCTAGGTGCCCATCAACAGAAGAATGGATAACCAAACTGTGGTACATACATACAATGGAATACTATGCAACCCTAAGGAATAATGTAAAATCTGTGAAATACTGCATAACGTGGATGAACTTGGAGGACATTATGCTGAGTGAAATAAGTCAATCATAGAAGGATAAATATTATATCAGTCCGTTATTATAAAAAGTCAAGGAAAGGTTTCTATATAGAAGGAAATTTTCTTTGTTGGTTACCAGGGGTAGGAGGGTAGGATAGGGAATACTGTTAGATAGGTAGAGACAGGTATTGATTTGGGTGAAGAGAAACCAAGGAAATAGCTAGAGCATTAAGGCAGGTATTTTAACACTAGTAATGGTCTTTCGTTTTTAAACTTAATTAAGTTTAATTTAATTTAATTAATGACCCAAGATGGGATTAAATATGCTCTTCTTACCTTTACTGCAAATATTTTATCAAGTGGCAAGCTTTAGGTAGAGAGAGATAGCTCTGTTTAGGTGAATTACATAAGCTTGAGAAGTTCTGCAATTTATCCTTGGATGTCTACTCCCATGGTGATCCGATTTAGTCTCATAGGTTTAAATGTCATTACTATGCCTAATCCCAAATTTATGGTATACTGTTCAGTTTAGTATATACAGATCTACATCTTTTTTTTAATTGCTGCATAATATTCTATTGTCTCTGTAATACAATTTAAGCAAACCTTTAATCCCTGGGTGGTGCAAATAGTTAAGCGCTTGGCTACTGAAACTTTGGCAGTTGGAATCCACTCACAGATGCCTCAGAAGAAAGCCCTGGTGATCTTTCTAAAGCTCACAGCCATTGAAAACCCTGTGGTGTGCATTCTAGTCTGAAACACATGGGGTCATCATGAGTTGGAATCAACTTGATGGCAACTGGTTTGATTTTTTTGGTTTAATGATTGACATTAAGGTTGTGTCCATTTTTTTCCTATCATATGTATTACTCTGGTGGATATGTTTATTCATGTAGCTTTGTGTATTTGTATTAGTGTGTCTGCCAGATAATTCCTTGTCTTGAAACTGCTGGATGAAAGCCTTTGTGTTTTCAGTTGTCTTCCAAAAAGGTTGTCCTGTTTTATATCCTTATCATGAAAGTGTAAGGGAGTAACTGTTTTCCCAAGTTCTCACTGATGTTTGAAAATTGCATACTTTTTAGTCTTTGCCAATGTAATGATGGAAAAATATCTAAATTTATTATAACTAGATTTTTGAACATCTTTTCAAACATTGAACAGTCTCATGTCTTTAACCTTGCTCTTGCTTATTCCTCTTCATTTGGAATATTTCTTCAGCTTTCATTTCCTTAAACCTTTATTATTCTTTAAGACCTGTATCAAAATTTGTTTCTTCAACATTTGGCTTCCCAGTAAAAAATGGCTGGTGGGTTTGAACACCAGCCTTCTGGTTGACAGTCAAATGCCTTAGGCGCTGTGCCACTAGAGCTCCTAGTATACTTAATGAGGAGCCTGGTGGAGCAGTGGTTAAGTGCTCAGCTGCTATCCAAATAGTCAGCTGTTTGAACCTACCAGCTGCTCCACAGGAGGAAAATGTGGCATTCTGCCTCTGTAAAGATTACAGATTCTGTAAAGAAACCCTATTGGGCAGTTCTGTTCTATCTGTCCCATATAGTCTCTATGACTCAGAATTGACTACACAGCAGCAGGTTTTTTTTTTTTGTTGTTGATATATTTAATCCCAATTGAATTGTATATCAATAGTAATACATATAATTTTCTTCTTCTAGGATTTCCAAATTTACAGGATGACTACATATTAATGGAAACAGAAGCATAAACTATCTTCTTTCACTATGGAGGCAGGTTTGGCAGATGGTGGAGAACCTGACCGAACTTTGGTAAGTGGCTCAAATATAGCATAATGAACTATCGTCTGCAGCAGTACAGTTTCATATAAGCTATGATGTTATTTTTGAAATGTGTTTAAAACAAACTTTAAAAGTATTCAAAAGTAATACTTTAACTCCTCTGCTGTTATGAGGATTACAAATAGTTTGCAGTATGTTGGAGCACAACCCAGTTTTCTGGTATTTCTACCCCTATATCTGGCTTTCTTCCTCCCACCCTCCCAGCCATATAATGTAGAGCATACTCATGTAATAGTTGGATTTATTTTTTTACCTAGAAAACTTTTTGTCTTCTGTGAAACCAGGAGGATGGTAACAGTTGAGGAAATGAAACAATTCCAAATCTCAAATCACATGCAGTTTTGAGCAGGTGGAGGAAATGAAACAGTTAAAATAATTATGAATTAAGAGCAGTTGCCACATCTAATTTTTCCATAAAAATACAAGTTTAATAAACATTGCTGCCCTGTGATTGTGATTTGTTTTATGAAATTGATAAATTAGGAGCAATAGCAATAAAGTATACCTTATCCAATAAATTGAAAAAGAGTAGGTTAGATGATGATATATTACTATACAAAAAGATTTCGTTACAGAATATTTTCATTTTCAGTTTTCTTGTTATATTTTGAGTTATTCCATTAAGTATTGATGTAATATTCCTAAAATATTAGGAATATTTTTCATTATCTAAAGTGAGGGTGCCCTTGTATAAATGTAGTCAGCTGATAGCTCTGATTTGTTAGGCAGTAGACTCTTCAACAAATTTATATTGTTGGAATGGAATACAGGCCAACTTTTTTGTATGTTATATTGCTATGGAGTTGAAAGTCATTTTTCTTGTATGCCATCAAGTCAGTTCCAACTCAGCAAGCCTGTAAGACAGAATAGAACTGCTCCATAGGGTTTTCTGGACTGTAATCTTTAAGAAAGCAGATAACTAGGTCTTTTCTCTTCCGGAATATTGATGGATTTGAACTTCTGACCTTTTGGTTAACAGCCAAGCACTTAACCATTGTTTCACTAGGGGTCCTTATATTATCTTGACTAAAAAACCAAACCCACTGCCATCGAGTTGATTCCAACTCATAGCAACCCCCACTGGGTTTCCAACTGTTTAAATCTTTATGGAAGTATATTGCCTAATCTTCCTCCCACAGAGCAGGTGGTAGGTTTGAACCACCAGTCTTCTGGTTAGTAGCCAGATGCCTTACCCACTGTGCCACCAGTGCTTCTTACATTATCTTGAGGTATTTGTACATTTTAATTTAGTGAATGTCCTTGTTCAAGCTCAAATGTAGGAGCAATCTAATGATTGATAGGAAAATGTAGTTCTGCTGACTTGTATTAACTTGATCTTAACTGTCCTTGAATTTCTGGCTTGTACTTTGTTTCTTAAATGGTTAAAAAGAAAAGTTAAACTTTAAAATGATAACTTGTTAATAGAGAATAAAATGAGCATGGGAGTAACTTAGTTTACAAAGAAATCTATAATCACAGTGATTATGAATTGAAAACATATGGTAGTTTATTTTATTTTTACCATAATTA